TCAGAATTCATTCAGTGAATTGATCCCTGGGCTTCTGTGTACCTTTTACAGTACAGTCAATTATGATGATACAAGTAATGGTACCATTTTCTTTCAATTTCTGTCTTTGCCAAAGTGAATAGATTCTTCTATCATTTACTAAGGAGTTAATTTATTTGATATTACATTGAATAAATAGAGCAAAGACAATTTTATGTATATTTGATGTTTTCCTCTTAGCAAATATTGAGACGTGCTGTCAAAAATGATAACTGGCTTTGGGTGTTCAACCAGAATACAAAAAAAAAATTAATAGATATTATACAAAGCATGTCAATATGTGCTTATTTTACTGTGTAGAGAAAATATAAACGCTGCATTTTGATATAGGTAAATATTTGAATTTGTATATATAACAGTTTGATCTCCTCCTGTTAGAACTTAGTAGAATTAAAAGGAATCAATGAAGGTCTGAAAATGTACTATTCAGTATCAGCAGGTGTTGAAAAAATAGATCATTAGAAATGTGGTAGTTTTCAAAGTATTACACTTCTTTATACACCAATAATTAATCTCATTTTTTTTCTTTGAATAGTTCTTCCTTGTTAATACAAGGAAATGCACATTCAACTGCTATAGAAGGCACATACAAAGGTCAGATACAGAACAAGCAATTGGAGTTAAAATTACCTTCCTGCTTTCTGACCTGAAGGGGCTATCCTTCTGCAAGGTCAGAGGTGATTAAACCTCTACACAAACCTGGGTCTGAAATTGATGAGCAAAGATTGTCTCAGTATGTTTTGTTTCCAGTGTAGAGTATAGTTCCTTGAGGAACAGAATTGAGGGCTAAAAACAGTAACTTATTTAACACCTAAAAGAGTGGGGGGGTCAAGAGGACATTTTAATATATACACCAGATCTAGCTGCTTCACTTCCAAAGAGGTACATAGTATTTTGTTTTTTGTCTGGTGGTAGGACCTGTGTAGGGCCACTGATAGTTGTGATATGGCTCTATGGAAACAGCTTTTTCAGTGTTAATATATAATATTTTTGCAGTGTTTGTGAGTTATTACCACAAAATCAGTAGGGCCAACTCTAGTCCTGTCAGTTGGAAAGTCAACCTTTGTATAAGAGGATTATCTAGCTAGTATAAATGCTGTACTTAATGTAAAGTCTGAAGTTCACATTGCCAGGTTGTTTTGCTAATGGACTGTAAAACCTACCATAGAATCAGAAATGTAGTTTCCTGCAGCTGTAGCTTCAGCTTTCAGTTCCAGCCCCTATCCCCCACCATGTTTCCCCTTCCCTTTTTTTTTGCAGTGGAACTTGGTAGCGTTCTTTTCACTGGCAGTGTTCCAGTGAAAGATTGACTTCTTCAGTTATCATATTCCATATGCTGTACACAGGGTGTTAGTGACTGATCAGTTATTATGTGGCTTCAGGGAACTGGCTATATATCTTAGTTTTGTATTTCTAGACTTGTTGACGCTTGGATTAGGTTTTTTCTTCTTTTTATTTAAATAGTTGCATGTTGGGTATGGTACATTTCATCATCCTTTCAGCCAGTTATTGTGTGTGTCTATTTCATGAAAGATGATCTCAAGGTGGTACAAAAAAGGTCTGTAATAAATGTATCAGATTTGCTATGGTACTAAGCTCCTCCTATTTCAGCATCATTTTTCCCCCTGCAAAGCTAAGGGTACTTTTACATGTGCTCTGGGGGTGAGCGGGTGGGGCACTTTAATTAGAGTGGCTCTGAGAGCGTCTTGTGTATTAGCATCCCTGCACTTCAAAATGGTGGTGGGAGCACTTGAACTAAAGCTTGTTTGACAAGCTTTATTTAAAGCATCCCTGCTACCATTTTGAAGCATGGGGATACTGAATAGATGTGATGCAGAGGCTGCTGGAGTGCATTAACATGCTCCAGCAGACTCAATCAAGTCTGCTCCGACATGTGCTAATTAGCATGCATCGGTGCCTATTATGTCTAAGTGCTACTTAGACATACGTGGGAGTTATTGACTAGGACCAGTTGTTATCTTTAGTCATGTTCAGATGTTTTTTGATGTCTGTAGGCCAGTGGTTCTCAACCTTTTTGAACTTGAGATCTCCCTTCTAACCCTCCTGGCCCTGCTGGTGTTCCTTGCTCCCAACCCGCAGCCCCCTGGTTCTGCTGGTACCTTGAATTTCTAACCCACAGGCTCCTATCCCTGCTGGTGCCCCTCACTCCCCACCTGCAGCCCTCTGGCCCTGCTGGTGCCCCTGACCTACTGCCCCTGCCTCCAGCCCCACAGTGTGTTGGGCAGGCAGGATGTTTGGTAGGGGTGGAGCAAGCAATATGCTACACAAGAACTGTGGCTTAAGAACTTCATCCCCAACACCAGCTTCTACCCCTTGGGATGGCATCTACCCTGCAGGGCCTGGACTACTCTTCACTGGCTCAGGATAGGTGTTGGACAGTTTAAGATGAGCGTGTACTCTTGTGGCTTCTCCAACAATGCTGGCTGCAGCTGTGCTGCTCAAGATCAGACAGTCAGCCACATCACCTATGAGTGTCTGTATGGCTTTCCTTCAGGTACCCAAGGTCTTATTGACATTGACCTTTGTCAAATGGGGATGCTATATGGCCACAGTCCCCAGTGGCTTGAAGCCTTGCTGGGATGAGCTGTGAGGAGGTTGATCATAGTATTCTATGATCACTCAGCCTGGAAAATCCATCTTTCATCTGCCATGCCTTGATGTTAATTAAAGTTTACTGGGAGGTGGATACAGGCCAAGCAATAATCATCCTTGCCCACCCAGGTCAATTCTTCTTTGTGGGGCTCCTCCTCCCCTTATACTCCACCCTCATCCTGTCCTATCTTCAATGGAGTCAATAAATCGTCAGTTGCTTTGGCTGTTGCATAACCCTCAAATGTATATCCATATAAATAAAATCAAAATAAGAATGACCACAAAATCAGCCTTCAGCTCAGGAATCTCTTAATCAATTTAAGTCAATTTATTCTGGATCTCAACAGAAAACAAAGTCAAATCAATTCGCCCCACTGCTTGGGCTAGTAGACTTCAACCAAAAGTTTTAACCAGAAAAAAAAAGATCACAAGTCCAGAATCGCTTTAGTCCCCCATATGTCAGTCAGACTGTTCACGGCCGTCTAATTCATGCCATCCCATGAATCCCCAGTTTTCCACCTTCAGGTCTGGGCTACAGTTCAGGGCCCAGATCCCTGATTAGGACCAATGCCTCCCTCAGCTACTTTACTTTAACAGTCCCATGCTAGGGCAGGCCCAGCTACCTTCCCTTGCTCCTTTTCTTTCCTTTTTCAGTTTTTTTTGTTTGTTTGTTTTTTTTGAGCAACACAGTATAGGAGAAAAGAGGAGAGACAAAGAAAAAAACTAAAAACCTAAACTAAGAGAAAAGAAATACCTAAACTGGGCTAAAAGGGCAGGGCCCCTTTAAGACTCTCAGCCGCTTCTTCCTTTTTGCAGTCTCTTTGCTGCCTCCAGTTGCTGTTGTATCAGCTCCACTCTGTCAGTCAGCTCCCTAGCAGCCTATCCCTTCTTCACAGCTAGGGTTTCCCCAGCTGCTTTTCTCCCATAGCTTGATTCCTCCTACCATCTTCTGCAGAAGATTGACAGCTCCATCCACTTCTGGTTCCAGTCTCTTTTGTCTACTGCCTCTCCTCTCTTTTCCACCCTCCTCCAGGGCCTGAAATGTCTACACGAGCGCCTCTTCCACCATTCTAGAAGGAGCATGTGCTTCTAAACCTTTGGAGCTAACAGAGATCATTCTTTCTTTTTTTCTTTTCTCTTTTTTCCCATCAATCCCTTTTTTCCCCTCCTACATTTTTCATTCCTTCCTCTTCTATGTCCTCTACAAGTATGCCGCACATCTCCAGGAGAATACAGACCACAGTTTGAGAAACATAGAATTAGATTGGATGGGAAAATTTTAATCATGAAGAAATTTGAAAAAACCTCACCAAAATCCACTACTCCATTGAAGCAGGAACTTGCAGTAATTTATGTTCCTATACTGCTTTTGTGGAAGTGTTTCCTAGGGCATAAAGAAACAATGCTGAATGTGGGCTATTGCTGCATTGCATTAGAAGAATAACAAAAATATTGTGTTTGACAAAACATATTATTGATATGTGATGCTGTTTGGATTTATTCAGTAAACTAGTGTCAAACAAATTTGCTTTGCCCTGACACCTCCTATATGGTCTGCCAACTGATTTCAAAGAAACGTACATTTTAGTTGACTTTACAGTCAGCTTAAAAGTTGTTTCACTATTGGTATTATGTATGCTTTTATTAATGTGAAATGCCTTCCTAAAAGACTGACTTTAACTTTCTCATCATCCCTTCCCTCCCAACTTGATCTTAGCCAGTGTGTTTCAGTTTTTGACTACTAATTTTTGACCAGCAGCAGCCATGAAACTTCTTTGAATGACCTGGGCATTGCTGATGGCCTAAAAGATGAAATACTGAGTGAATGCATTTATATTCAACACTTCCATAGTTGGATTAATTCATGGGCTAACTGAGTGGGCCCAGGGGCCCCCCTCTCAGCATGAACAAAACTGGAGGCCAGGCTGGGCATGTGCTACGTGTTGGGCTGTGGCTGCTGGGAGCCATTTGCTGGGTGTCGCTTCAGTCAGACTGAGCTGCAGCAGGGCGAGGGGCATCCCTGGAGCTCGGTCCATGACACACACCTGGCAGGCAGCAGCTTTGCACACTCAGTTCCAATTCCAAGTGCAGACTTATGGGTGAGGGCTGCCATGGCTCTTGCTTGTGGGGCAGCACATCCCGCTCTGACTGCTGTTCCCACTGTGCTGGCTGGGGACGGAGCCCGTGGCTGTGGGTGGGAGGAGGAGGTGCCCTGGACCATGAATCTTAATGAATCTTAACCCGCTGCTGCCCACTTCCACGTTTATATAAATATATTTTCAAATTATTTAATCATATTAAACACAGAATCAACCTAAATCTTTTTTTTTTTTCTTTCTATTTCCAAGCAGGTGACTAAAAATGGAGAAAATAGTGAACAGAATTTGTCTGGCTTCCACTCCGGACACGATATATTTTCTACAGGTTGCTTGGGAAAAAGACTTAAGCACTGGTTTTGTTGCAACACTTAGTGATGGGCAATCAGCATGGACTGGGACAGGTAATACAGAAACTGAAAGATTACTTGTAATTAAATATATGTTTTGCATTAATTGTGATTGATGTGTTTAACTGTTTTTATCCTGTAGTACACCAGAAAAACATTTCTGGGTTCCTTCTTTATCTGTCCAGGAAGGGAAGATACATCCTGATCATTTGGGACCTGTTTTAAACCTATGACAAGACTCAACTATCAAAATAAATACTAATTTATGGATAGGCAGTATTGCCTGTTTTCCTAGTATTTTAACTTGTTGTGATGGCATTAAATTAGGGCACTGCACCTTCCCAAACTCTGCTTTTTAAATTTGTTTGGATTTCTTCTGTGAATTATAAACATCCAGACTTACTTACTATATTAACCCTTTTAGATGATTTATTAGACTACTGGTAATTGAATTTTGTACCCATAGCGTGCATATGTATGAAGGAAAATAAGTAGAAGACCAAAATACAATATTACTTTTCCTGAATATAAATTGTAAAAACAAATAGGCTTTTAGATCTCTGGGTGGAAAAGTGACAAATAAGAGGGATTTATGTTTCTTATTCACACTTGGGGAGATTAAAGAAAAAATCATGTTTTTCTGCAGAACTGTCAGTTGTGTATCTGATAAAGAACATTTATTTTTTGGAGCAAGAATGCCTCAGAGAAGGGAAGAGTATGTAGCGTTCTGTAGTAACTAATGAATCATGAGAAGAGAGATGTGTCTAATTTTTTATAGCCGATATTATATTTGATGTTGTTATTCATCTATAGCCACATTTTCAAAAGTAGTTACTGGTTTTAGTTCCTCAGTTTTCAGCTGTCCACCTTGGAGGCCTTTAGTTTGACTTTCTGAGATGGTGAGCACTGTCCTCATCTAGAAATTGTATTTGTGGCTGCTTGGTGCTCTTGGAAATCTAGTATGTCAGGTTGCTTCCAGAAGTGAGGACTTAGGACTGGGCCATTGAGTCTAGTCCTTTGTATTTACAGGCAATTGTTTACCCAAGGACTCTTCAAAATAGTCACTTCAAGCCCTCACACACAGCTATGAGGTGCAATACACAAGACACCAAGAATGTTCTGTAACATGCCATGAGAAAAGTTAAAGTACCAAAAGGCATGTCTACACGTGCATTAATTCCCTGTAGTTACTGCACATTAAATCTAGTATTTGTAATAACAAGTACTAACTCAATGCACTGTAACTGGTGCTACTGCATGGTAGCACCGGTGTACGCCTTTTTAGTGACGCTAATAACAGTAGGCTAATTCTACTGCGCATTACTGCAATAGCATGGTTTTTGCCGTGACATGCTAATGCGCAGTAGAATTAATCTGTGCATTTAGCATCTTGTGTAGATGCACCCAAAATGTTTGACTACTTCTGAAGACTTTGGCCATACATATTATTATAAGAATTTAATACTTTCAGAAATCTCAGTGGCCTCTTAAACTTGATATACTGTGGTGGTGTGCAATGTTGTAGGCAAATCTAGAATTTTGAAAAGGGGTGTGTGGGAGCTGTTACTTATGCTGCAGAGGCGGCTGTGAGCCCCACTAGTCTTCCAGCTCCCTTCCCTCCCCCAGCAGGCAGACTGTGCTGCAGCAGTAGCAGTCAGGAACATTTTTTGAATTCCCGAAGCAGGTAGGAATTGTCTCCTGCCAACCAGGAGCAGGCATAATAAAGTGGAACCCACATGCTATTGTTGCTGTCTCTTGCCAAGCCTGGCACCCTGTGTAGCCAGTCCCCACAGCCCCCATCTGGAGCAGGGCAGGAGTAGCCATGGGACTACTCATGCCACTGGGTTAGCTAGGGACAACAGTGGCAGCAAGCAGGTCTCCCTTTTCCTGCTTTCATAGGCATAATTAGCAGGATTTGTGCCCTGGACAAACCCTGTTTGAGGGGAATTGTGGGAGCACAGGTATGGAGGAGGAGCTGCTGAATGCTGGAGGGAAGCCAGTACCGAGACATAAAAGGTGACCCTTCCAAACGAAATATGCTTATACCCACGGCTCTGTGAATCTTTTAAAGAGGGAGGATGGGGGAGTGTGGCACAATGCCATCTCTGTCTTTCCCCAAAAACTCTGCAATGTGACAATTTGGTTAACATAGTCACTGCAGAGGGCAGACATCCCATCTCTTTAGGTAACTCTGAGTTGTAACCTGAGCTGGATACATTCCTGGGGGAGGGGGGTAACCTGCTCCCTTTGCCTATTTGACTGGCATCACATAACTGGGTGAGGGGCTTGGGCTCCCCATTGTTCTGAGCAATGCCAGTCTACTTGGCAACCAGAGATGCATTTCAAATTGGTTGGGTGGCAGCCAACAGTTGCTGGTCTCCATGGGACCAGGTAAATGAGGTCATAAGGTCTATATAAGTTAAGGATTGCCCAGGAGGAGGGGCAGTAGCCATGATGAAAACTCCGAGAGAGAAGCTGGACCATCTGAAACTTGCTTTTTCTCTTGAAATTCATGATCAATGAACTGCCTGTCTGCAGAGGAAACCTCCACCTGCCTCTGGATAATACTCATGAGTAAGCTACCTGAGATCTAACTAGATATATAGTTTGCAGTAACTCAGATGCGTGATCAAAGGCTGCCCAGCCATACCAGTTTTCTCTATGGGATTTCTCTGATATTGTTCAACCCTGTACCCTATCCCAAACCTACTCCTTGTAACCAGTAAAGGTCTCCTTTATACCTAGCATGGGAGACTTACTGGGAGTGGGTCAACGGTGGTGGGTAAGGGGAATTCTTACCTGCTTCAAAGACTTTAAAAAGTTCCCAGCTGCTGCTCCTTTGGTGCAGTCTGAGCTCCGTTTCTAACTAGTCTCCAAAAGCAACCCAGGCATGGATCAGGGGGGTACTGCAGCCACTAGCATATGAGTCATATAGCGAAGGGGGGTTGTGATGCCACTCCACACCTCTTGGATCTGTCCCTGTTTATTGAGGGCCTTATTAAAATTTGATTTCTACTTTTTTTAGTTTCTTTCTGATTTCCGTTGATTTCATTTAATTATCAGGGTAATATATTTTGGGGATGTCTACACATACTGTTAATGTGCTGTAAGCTTACTGCACAGTAAGCTTTCCCCGAGAGCACATCTACATGTACACCTATCAGGAGCAAATATGTGAGGTCTTAAAGGCTACTCCTGCCCTGCTCTGCCCCTCCTACAGTAGCCAATGAGAGCTCTAGGCTCTCCTGGGTTCCAGCCCTGGGCTGACAGGGGGCACCATGGTCAAATCTGGGCTCTAGAGGGCAGCGGGAGCTGTCCTGCGTCCAGGGCAGTTGTTTCTCAGCCCTGTGTCCTGATCAGCAGATTGGGGCATGGGGCTAGGAAAGTGTCCCTTCCCGTACAGCTGTTTCCCAGCCCTGCCCTGATGATTGGGGCAGGAGCCTAGGAAACAGCTGCTGGGGAGGGGACAGTTCCCCTACTTCCTGCTGCCTGGGCTGACCAGAAGCAATTTGCTCCTTGTGAGCTGGCTACATAGAATCATAGAAAAATATGGTTGGAAGGGACCTCAGTAGGTCATCTAGTCTAAACCCCTGCTCAAAGCAGGACCATCCCCAACTAGATCATCCCAGCCAAAGCTTTGTCTAGCTAGGTCTTAAAAGCCTCCAAGGATGGAGATTCCACCACCTCCCTGGGTAACCTGTTCCAGTGTTCTACTACCCTTCTAGTTAGAAAAATTTTCCTAATATCTAATCTAAACTTCCCTTGTTGCAACTTGAGACTGTTGCTCCTTGTTCTGTCATCTGCCACCATTGAGAACAGTCTAGCTCCATCCTCTTTTGAACCCCCCTTCAGGTAGGTGAAGGCTACTATTAAGTCCCCTCTCAGTCTCCTCTTCTTTGGACTAAATAAGCCCAGTTCCCCCAGTCTTTCCATATAAGTCATGTCCTCCAGCCCCCCTCAGCATTTTTATTGGCTGGACTCTGTCCAATTTATCAACATCCTTTCTGTAGTGGGGTGCCCAAAACTGAACACAGAACTCCAGATGTGGCCTCACCAGTGCTGAATAGAAGGGAATAAACATTTTCTTGACCTGCTGGCAACACTCCTACCAATGCAGCCCAGTATGCCATTAGCCTTCTTTGCAAAAAGGGCACACTCTTGGCTTATATTCATCTTATTGTCCACTGTAAGCCCCAGGTCCTTTTCTGCAGAGCTGCTGTTTAGCCAATCAGCCCCCAGTGTGTACCGGTGCATGGATCTATTCCATCCTAAGTGCGAGATATTGCACTTGTCCTTGTTGAACCTCATGAGATTCCTTTTGGCTCAACCCTCCAATTTGTCTAGGTCACTCTGAATCCTAGCCCTACTCTCCAGCTTATCTGCTGTTTCCCCCAGCTTGGTGTCATCTGCAAAAATGCCGAGGGTGCACTCTATGCCATCTTCCAGGTCACTGACGAAGACAGTGAACAAAACTAGCCCCAAGATCGACCCCTGGGACACTCCACTTGATCCCTGCTGCCAACTAGACTTTGAACCATTGATTAATACCCTCTGAGCCCAATGCTCCAACCAGTTTTTGCCCACCTTACAGTCCATTCATCCAGCCCATATTTCCTTAGGTTGCCTGCGAGAACGTTGTGGGAGATCATATCAAAAGCCATACTAAAATCAAAGTATAGCGCATCCACAGAGCCAGTCACCTGATCATAGAAGGCAATTAGGTTGGTCAGGCATGACTTGCCCTTGGTAAATCCATGCTAATTGTTCCTAATCACCTTCTTTTCTAAATGCTTAGACATGGATTCCTTGGGGATCTGCTCCATGATTTTTCCAGGGACTGAGGTAAGGTTCTGGCTCGTCTGTAGATCACTGGATCCTCCTTTTTCCTTTCTTAAACATGGGCACTATGTTTGCCCTTTCCCAATCATCCAAGACCACTCCTGATTGCCATGAGTTTTCAAAGATGATGGCCATTGGCTCTGCAATCTCATCAGCCAACTGCCTCACTACTCTCGGGTGCATCCCATCCAGCCCCATGGACTTGTAATATCCAG